GGGGGCGTCGCGGGCGGAGGACGCTGGACCGCCCCGTCCGGGAGCCCGGGCTGGGAGCGGGAACCTGCCTGCTGGGGGCCCCCGCGTCCTGTCCCCGGGCCGCAGCGGGCAGAGGGTGCCTCGGAGCTCAGCTCCTTCCCGCCGGCCTGTGGGAGAGCGGCTGTCATCCGGCAGGGCCTGCGCCGTACCCGGCTGGCTGGAGGACGGGCGCGCGCGGCTGGCGACACGGCCCCTGCGCGGTCGGAGAAGCCGGCCGCGTCGGCGCCGGGTTCCTGAGAACCGGCTTTGCTGCTGTGTCACTTTGTATCAGCCCCTCCTTTCCCCGATGCCCGCCACACGGTTCTTACTACGTCCCTTTGTATGGTCCCTGCTTCCTGTGTCCGTTTTCCTCGCGAAGCCCACCAGCCAAATGTCATAATGTTCCCGAGGTGCAGGGGGGAAGGGAAGCGGGCTGGGACTCAGCTTGACCCAGCAACGGTAAACAACCCAGCCGGGTGCGGGTGGCAGGACTGCCGGAGGGGCAACAAAGTTGAAAGATAGACACGGGGGCGACTTGACACTTTCGGAGGCTGGCAGGCTGCATGTGAAACACGGCGATTGAGCTAGGGGGTAGACAGCACTTGTTTAAGCTGGACTCTGGCTACCGACTTTGACGTGGAGGTGTCATGCAAGCCAGGTAGGGAAACGAAATGGCTTTTTCGATTTCGACCTCACTTTCCTAAGACATCGAGACAGACAGACAGACAGACAGTAGAGTGGCCTTATTTTCAACCTTAAAACTCAAAATACTAATCTCAATAGATATTATGTTGTTGACGAGTGTGTGATTCAGCTCTTAAATGGATGATTACCAAATTCTTCCTGAAATTAAGGAGGTGGTTAACTTCGTTTTCTTTTTATGCTGGTTTCATTGGAAACCCTGAAGCCTGTGCTTTCTTTTTTTTTCTTTCTTTTGAAGCCTAAGCTTTATTGTTTCCTAGATGGTTTAGAAAAGACCTATCGAGGTTCCATTATAGTTATAAAACTGCAAGATGGGCCGCCAGTGGGAGTGGGTGGTAACTGGGGTCTGTCTACTTGTTGTAAAGCAAGCTGTTTATTTTCATTGTATTGAGGAAATACATCCAATGGCAGATTTTTGGGGGGTTATTTGAATCCTTAACGTTTGACAAAGGATTTTCGTTTAGAGCTGTATTTTCCAGAATTGGTCGTTATGCATATATTTCCTTAATTCCATAAAATGAGTACATTAGTTTCATTTTGACGTCTCAAATCAACGACTAGTTGAAAATCACGGTGTTACTGGACGGAAATTATCAGATAGAATTAGGTGGATAGAAAACTTGTGTGGAGTCAAATTGACAAGTGTTGAAGTCTGGTTTTTTTTCTTTTAAAAAATGCTGTTCTGACTACCTAACTACAGGAGGACCAGTGCCAGTATTTACAAATGCGTCTGAGAGGCCGGGCTGGCGTAAAGAAATCACTCCTCTCAAGGTGCTTTTGAACCGTGGGGTAGAAGCTCAGCGTTGGTGAGCGACACGAAAGGGCTTGCTCCTGACCTCGGTGTCTGAAGTGGACGCAGTGAAACGCATTCCATCGTATAGCTCCGATGGCTTTCCTGGAAATGAAAGAGTTTGGGCCCCTCATTGTCCTTATGCCACCTTCCGCTTGGCGTTTGCGCTTCAAAGCAAGCCTCTGCGGGACTCGGGACCCCGCAGCTGGCGTGGGCTCCCCGGGCCGGCCGAGCACCGTCGCTGGCTGGGGGTGAAAGGTCTCCGCGCAGCCTGTGTGCACTTGTGTCTCCCGTGTGCATCTGAAGGTTGGCGGGGCTGGCGGGAGGTTTCCCCGGATATGTGGGTGTGCGTCTCTCCGGAGGGGAGGGTCCGGGAGGAGGAGGAGGAGGAGGAAGGGGGAGGTGACGGCGGCGGCCGGGCTCGGGCTGTCGGGGAAGCTGCTGAGCTGTGATGGTGATGACGAGGTGAAAATGGCGGATCTTTCGAAATACAATCCCAGCCCCTGACATACCAGAGGCGGCGGCAGCACCGGCGCAGCCACCCGGCTCCCTCCTCCGTCTCCGGCCAGCTGGTAGCGCTCCCGTTTGGGCACCCTGGGGAAGGAAGCCGCTGGCCTGAGCTGTCCGGCCAAGGCATAACAAGCACTGCCGCGGCTCGCAATTGCCCGGGACCTTCTGGAGCCCCCACCTTGGAGCCCGAGGGAGGAGAAAGCGGCAGTCGCTGGAGGTAGAGGAGAAGGGGTACCCGAGGGCCTCTCTGCGAGAGAGGTCTTCGTTTGGGGGAAGGGAGCATTTGCACTGGGGATCAACTAATGACTTATCTGTAATGCAAAGGATCAGTAGCCTCGTAATGACATCCACATTCTTTTTGGGGTGTTAAGAGGTCTCAGATTGGCTCCTATCCCCAAGGCTGCTACTGAGGCCTAGAGGAACAGCTAGCACTTGTCATGATTTCCTGATTTAATAGTTAACATATCCTCTCTGGTTAGTCAACGTCAGATGAGGTTGAGCCGTTTGTGGAGTTGTTTCTTTAAGGAGGCCCAGTACTGGTATTGTAGTCGGCTCTTTTAAGATGTGTGTCTTAGAGCACAGCCTATAACTTGTTGGGATGTAGATGTTACTATTTTTAAAAAAGAAGAAGAGCCAATTTTGTAACAAAAAGTCTTAAAAAATTTTTTTTAATGGCTCTGTCATCCATAGAGTGATCCACTTTTTTACCCTTGCCATTTGACAATAGCAATTGAGAAACTGTCGCTCATAGTTCCTTGCATGTTTTTCAGAGAAATTCTTCACCAGCCCCCATCCATTTCATGAAGCCAGAGTAAAGTTTTGAAAGATGTGGCAGTCAGCTTTATAATCCAAGTGAAGTCCGGCTGTAGGAATTCTGCTAGTGCATTGTTTCACCTTCATTTTCCGAAGGAGAATTGTGTGACCTTCTCAAGAGGCCATCTCCTTTGGCTTGATGCATGTATTGGATGTGAATATAGGTAGTTGTTAGAAGATTACTTGAGACTGCTGTTTTATTCAAAACACAGGACTTTTTCATAGTCCTTTGTGTGGAGATTCCAGAATTACACTGACTGACTTTCAGATAGCCATAGTTTAATTTGGTAAAATTTCTAGACCCAGGTATGTTTTGGATGATCTAGCAGGATTTCTAACAAGTCTGCCTTCTTGCATACCTAGTAATACTCCTGAAAAATTACATGTGTATCAGTTTTTATACATTTTACTACCTGCCCCCTCCAGCTTTTGTGGTCAAAGGTTGAGACAGAAGAATAAGCGGATAGGGGGAAAAAAAAAATCAAGGGAAACGCCTCAAAGATACTTTGCATCTAGTTAGGGAAGTTTTAAAAATCACTGTCCTTGCATTAAGTAGTAGGAATTCATCTTTTATTTTACAGCATTTATGTTGCAGCCGTTTGGGCCATGCCAACCGAACTGTTAAATTAGTAGGAAGATTAATACTTTAAAAAATAGTTTAAAAAGGAGATTACAATGCCTTTTCATTGGCTTTCTTTTAATCACAGAGGGTTACTGCCTTCTTGTGATTCTTTGTGCTTGTCTTTAAGGGCCAGTTTTTAGAATTTCTGTGGTTAGAACAGTTGTGTATTTATTAATAGCTAACAATGTGTTAGAAAAAAATGAAGGAATATTTATGCCACAGGAGATTGTCCATTAGAAAATGGACAATCTGCCCCCCCCTTTTTTGGTTTAGTTTTGTTGGAGAAATGTTACCGATGTTCATTACTCTTTTCTAGGACTACTGTGGTATCTTCTGTGTGATTGGCCTGGAGATGGGAGGGCTAAAATCACCTCAACATTACTTCATCAAGAGAACTTCCAGTTTAGGCATCACTGGAGGTAAATTTGGATGGTTGTATAGGGCCTCATGCAGAAAGCCTTGAAAGTTATGTGAATTTTTGAGGAGGAGAGTGACAGCCTCAGGGATGCACTCTAGGGAGATAACTCCTATAGCTGTTATGTAGGATGAATTGTAGCTGAGAGGAGATGGAGGTAAAAATACCGTAGTCGCCGAGGCTGTTGCTCTCCTATTCAAAAACTCCTGTAACTGTCAAGGCCTTCTGGATTAGTGGTATAGTGGTTAAGTGCTTGGCTGCAAACCAAAAGGCTTGTGATTTGAAGCCACTAGTTACGCTGCCAGAGAAAAGGCCTGGGGATCTACTTCCATACAGATTTCAGCCTAGGAGACCCTTGGCATAGTTCTACTCTGCCCTGTAGGGTCGATACGCATCCATGTCAACAACTTGGTACACAATAACACAAAGTCTGAAGCTTTGCAGTTTTGGAAACTGTAGCTTGCCATGGGAGGGAAGACATTGTGAAAAGTGACGTTGACAAGATATGATAGACATTCTTTCTTTGAAAGACAATGTTTTGAAGCTGTGCATAAGGTTATCAGGAGCTGCTTCCTCCAAAGTGGGCAGCCGAGTCCATTGTCATAGTTTGTTCTTAGTCTGGAAGCTCTGCTGAAACCTGTTTACTTTGAGTGACCCTGCTGGCATGTGAAATACCAGTGACAGCTTCCAGCACCACAGCAACTCACAAACCATCACAGCGTACGACAAGCAGACAGACAAATCCAGTAGCACTGTGGACCCAAGCCATGGTATTTTCAGTTGTCTCATATGCATGTGAAAGTTGGGCATTGAATATGGAAGACCAAAGAAGAATCAAAAGTACCACGGACTGCCAAAAGAACAAACAAATCTGTCTTGGAAGAAGTACAGCCAGAATGCCCCTTTGAGGCAAAAATAGGGAGACTTCATCTTTCTTATGTCTTACGTACTTTGGACATACTCTCAGGAGGACACCAGTCCCTGGAGAAGGACATCATGCTTGGTGAAATAGAGGGGCAGCAAAACGATGAAGGTGTGCAATGAAATGTATTGACAGTGGCTGCAACAATGGGCACAACAGTGTGAGGGTTCAGTGGCACCTAACAAAAACAACAACAGCATGAAGAGAGACCTCAAAGATGATAAGATCATAAAGCTTGGTGTCTGGGGGGGAAATCAACACTATACAAAGAGTGACAAAGAACTCAGGAGGAGCTGATTTAGATCAAGATGAGAGGAACTTGCATTTAAGTTGCAGTGTAACACACAGCTATTGTCAGGGTAACCCTGCAAGTAAATTGAGGCACAGGGAGATTAGTTAGGGTCACATGATAAGTAATATAACAGAGCCACGATTTACAATGGGGTCATTTTGACTTTTTGTGGGGGGACCCTATTAGTCTTAAACAGGAACAATTTATTATGCAGTCCCCATTAATGGGCAAAAACAAAAGTATATATATATATCTTCAGTACTGGTTTAAATGATTTTTCAATTTTACTATTAAGGTATATAATCTTAAAATTTACATAATTAGGATACATTCCTCAGATATGCATCTAAGTGTAAGTCAAATTAAATTTGGGATAATGGATGATGTTTTGTTGAAATAAAATCTTTTTTTGAATAGTGAGTTAACATTGTCTGCTTTGGCACAGGTGTGCAGTCAGTTTATACTGTTTGTCTACACTGTGATGACGCCATTTGTCTACCACTTTCTGTGTGCACACTGCAAAGCTTTCACCCTTTAGTCACAGGTGAGGCAGTCTGACTTTAGTTGCCATACAGTCAGCCCCAGACTCATGGCAACCTCCATGCACTGTGGAACAAAATAAAATACAAGGGAAGTCATAGAGTATTGCTATGAAATCATAGAAACCTTTATTAAACAAAACTTTTAAATGCAACACAATTATTTCTCAGCATATCTTCCATCTGGTTCTATGGAACACTTCTGAAGCAAGTGTCTCCATTTCTCTACCCCTTCTCTGAAGAATTCTGTGCTTTCTTCCACTTATAACCATGTTAGTTTTTTGTTTATTTAGGATTATTCCTATGTCTTCATTTTTTTTAATACTTTTATCGGGGGCTCTTATATCTCATCATAATCCATACATCCCTCCAATGTGTCAAGCACATTTGCAAATATGCTGTCATCATCATTTTCAAAGCATTCTCTTCCCACTTGAGCCCCTGATATCAGCTCCCCATTTCTTCCCCCTCTCTCCCCTATCCTCCCTCCCTCAAAAACCCTTGATAAATTATAGGTTATTTTTCCCATATCTTACATTGTCCTGCATCGCCCCTCACCTACTTTACCATCATTCGTCCCCCTGAGAGGGGATTCTAGGTTGATCCTTGTGATTGATTCCCCCTTTCTACCGGCACCCTCTGCTAATCCTCCTGGTATCTCTACTCTCCTTGTTGACCCTGAGGGGTTTATCTATCCTGGATTCCCTGTGCTGCAGGCACTTATCTGTAGCAGTGTGCATGCTCTGGTCTAATAGGATTTGTAAGGTAGAATTGAGGTCATGACAGTGGGAGGGGCAGGGAGGAAGCATTAAGGGACTAGAGGAAAGTTGTGTGTTTCATTGGTGCTATACCGCACCCTGGCTGGCTCATCTCTTCCCTCTGACCCCTCTGTGAGGGGATGTCCAATTGTCTACAGATGGGCATTGGATCTCCACTATGCCCCCCTCCACCTTGGGTATGGTTTTCTTCTGGGTCTTAGATGCCTGATACCTGATTCCATTGACACCTCATGATCACACAGGATGGTGTGCTTCTTCCATGTGGGCTTTGTTGCTTCTCAGCTAGATGGCCGCTTGTTTATCTTCAAGCCTTTAAGACCCCAGGTGCTCTATCTTTTGATAA